TATTTTCCTCAATAATTTTGAGTCCTGCTGGGTATTTATTCCGTTAAATCATTCTTGTCCGTTTTAAAGTTATTCCATTTCGATTATATGGTTATGTTGGATGACGCCTTGGTCCTGTAATGTGAGACAGCAAATGTAGCACCTGAATTATCAACTTCAATCAAACCATTACTTTCCCCCCCAATAGGCTTGTGCTGGGAACTCGACATGTGAGGCACCCATAGCCACTAGACACTTTTGCAGATTATGGGCTAATACCTTTAAACCAGACGCATAAAACAATCGGGATCTAAATAAAACGAAATAAAATAAAATGCCTCTGTTGTAAAACCCAAAGTATGATATCAAAATTAGCTTCCCCTTTTACTAAAAACCTATACCTTAAAACAATATAATTATTTTCCAAACACATGAAAATAATTATTCTTCCTCCCTGTTACATTTTTTTCTGCATGTGTATCCTATAGTTTTCTGCAACTTTTGCTCTTTCTACTGAAGTTAATGGATGTTTTGACATTAATTTCAGCCAGGTGAATGAGAGTAGGATGCATCCCTATATAAATTCAAATAGCAGTACGTTTAAAGTACATTGTAATGTTTTACTATGACAGAAAACTAGAGATATTTATTTCCTTTTGAAATTAGACAAATCCTCATAGGCGAGTATGGGGAAGCTTAGGTGTGTTTCTTGTTTGTCTTTGGAAGGGCACTGCACACAAAAAACAAAGAAAGAAATCATTTAATTTCTTTGTGTGGGATACCTCACTCCGCCTTAATACTGTTCCCTCGATATCTCGAGGGCAGGCACAGAACTGAAATTGTAATTTAAGATTAAACCCAAATTTTGTTTACTTTTGGAGGACAGGCAGGTGGATAAATCGAGGGTTTTGTCGATTTCTGGCGCGGGGAGCTCATTCAGTGGATCAAAAAAATGCAGCGAATAAAAACACCTAACAGTCCTAGCCTGGGGACGTCTACGTTAATTGATCAAAAAGCCAGTGGGACTTTTAAAATTAGAGATCAGTGGAGTTTCAGAAACACAGATTTCTGAGACGCTGGGAGGCAAGGAGAGGCTGATTGATTCTGTTGCGTCCGCCGTCGGGGGAGGCGGTGCGCGCGGCGACCTGGTTGAGTCGGTTGCGTCGGGTTCTGCTCTATATAAAGCCCCGGAGGGGGCCCGCGCGATCAGTTTGGAGCGGAGAGTCGTGGTAACTTCGTGGGAGGTTATTGCTTTGCAGATCAGAGGCGGCGGCAGCAGCCACAGCAGCAGCGGTTGCAGCGAGGCGGCGGCGGCGGTTCTTGTGGCTGTGAATACAGGGAGGAGAAATGCGAAATTTAAGCTCCGCCTCCCAGGCTTCTCCCTTAGAAGGGGCTCTAGCTACTTTTCCACCCAAGAAGAGAGGGAGGCCGTCTCTCCCCGACCTCATTCTGCGGGCTGTTTGCGTCTCTACAGCCCGCAAGGGCGCCTCTCTGGCTGCCATCAAGAAGGCGCTCTTGGCCGAGGGGTACGACGTGCAGAAGAACAACGGTCGCCTGAAGGCGACGCTCAGCTCTCTCGTTAGCAAAGGGCTGCTGCAGCGGGTGACGGGTAGCGGCGTCTCGGGATCCTTCAGGGTCAACAAGCGCCAGAAGAAGGGGGGCGCCTTGAAAGCAACTAAGAAAAAAACGGCCATCAAGAGACCCAAAACCCAGATAGCGGCCAGGAGGTCTCCGAAAAAAATTAACCTCACAGCAGCTAGGAAGGCAAAGGGGCCCGGCAGGGAAACCAAACCAGCTGTTAAAAAACCCAAGGCTCACAAAAACCCGGCCAGACCCAAGGGGAGGGCTGCCCCCCGCGGCAAAGCTGCTGGCAAGAGGCATTAAAAACACATTCCTCGTCAACTAATAAATATAAACTCAAAGGCTCTTTTAAGAGCCACCCTCAATATTCACTAAGTGAGCTGCTGTTTCGCCGGGAGAGCATGGGCGGTGCGGCGCGAGCCTTTACCGACAAAGATGCTTCTTGGAGGGAAATCTTTGATTTGGAATTTTATTCTGTGTATTTTACTAACAAGATTGCATAAGACAATGTAAACAAATCGAAAATTTCCTATTGAAAAATATTCAAAGTTTATTTTTAAAGTAATCAATAAAATTGTCCTCCCCTGAAAAAAAGTTCCGTGGAAAAAATCTTCACGTAAACAAATACTTTAAAATGATCGTTTTACTCCGCAGTAATGATCAAAATTGTAACCTCAATACACTTTTATTACGAAATTTATATCCACGTTTGTCGCTTGAACGATTCCAGCAGAGAACTGGAGCTGGTGCATGTTTCCTATCAGGTCCGGCGGTAGCTTACTGCCCAATGAAAGTGCAGGCCTCCTTCCCCTGACCAGCCCCTGTCCTCCCCCCACAAACGCTCTACCAGTTATTCATCTCTTCATCCAATTAGCACCCGCCCTTGCCGCTATACATGAGCTCAAAGTTGTACCGTGTTTCCCGTTGTGGTTATTTGATTGTGGTTTTCTGTTTCTGTGGTGTAGCGAGGGTGAGACAGTCACTGTCTGGTTGTGGTGAGAACAAGGCAGATTGCTCGGAAATCTACTTGGGGGAGATGCCACAGAATCAGCAGGCACCTAACACTGTTCGGAAGAGTGATCTTGCTGCAAATGGGATGGAAAAGATTAATCCGTATCGAATTAGCACTTGTGGCGGTGCAGGAGGTTTGCTATTGCGGCTGCTCCCTAAACTGCCTTTGTAGCTAGCGCCTGGTAGGAAAAGTCGCTCCGGATTTGAAGAGCGACCTTCGTTTACAGAGCTCCGCTGTCCTGATCCTGTAAAAACAACAACGAAGCTTATCTTCACTGGTCTTATTAGACGACAATAATTTGGGAGCTGTTCCACTAAGCGAGATGCCGTCCCAGCGGCAGATTTCCGAGCGACCTGCTTTGTTCTCCCCACAATAGCGGGATACAGTTTGACTCGTTTAGGAACATTCATGGATTTATGAACAAGGCGCTGTGTTCTTGCTACCACCTGGGAGAGAAATGTAGGAATGAAACAAAGATCCTTTGCTGGGTCACAGTACTTCCCCTGTACAGTATTAAGAGAGAAAAAAGAAAAGACACCCCCCCTCCCCACACACTTTTTTTGGGTGCTCCCTTGGGGTCTGGTTTCTTTCTTCATGAGCGACATGTTTAAAAAAAAAAGGCATTCCCCACCCATTGGGGCATAGCACATGTGCTTTGTAATGGGTAGAGGTAAAATTAAGGGCTTATTTTAGCAAATATTTCATTGTATTGATACATCAAACTGAAACCCCGATCAGGAAGGACGCCCAACTATGCTAGGCGCGATCAGACCATACAGGCCCGGTCCCTGTGAGCAAAGTGGGAGCAAAATCACCTTTCCATTCCCCCCGCCCCTCCAATGAAACA